ACCGTGGACGGCCTCTCCAGGGTTCTGTTCTCTGCACATGCAGCGCAGCAACAAAGGCCCGTCTGCTTCTGTCTCTTACTGTTGCTTCGCTGCGCCTCACACATGCATGTGGGAGTGTGCACGGTGCTCACGTGCACTGCCCCCCCACCATATCTCCATAACACTTGCGGTCGGCCCTCTGCCCCCTCCCCCCACAGCTCACCGCCCACTTCCCTGCCTGACAACACCACCGCCTGCCATCCCATAATACTCGCGCACACATTCGTGCACAGCAGTGCATGCAGCTCTTTGTTGGCAGCGATGGCTGAGCCTCGTGCACAGCATCCTGTTTCTGTCTCACATGGTTCTGACAGCACAGAGGCCTTGGGGTCGACGAAGGTGGAACCTGTGCGGCTCCTGATCAGGTTCTGATGGGAACATGGTGATGAGGTCCACCGGAGCCAGAACCAGAACTAAAACACAGAGCACAGTCATCTGCAGCCCATCAGGCTGAAGCTTTAACAAGCGGCTGCAGCCTGGCGACGGTCCACACAGCGGCAGATAAAGGCGGAAGAGGAGGCGGTTATTTACGAGGCCGAGCTGAGGCGCCGGACATGACAGCGGCAGCTCGTCACCATGGCGTCGCCGTGGGAGACGGCGGAAGACGTCACTGAGAAACAGGACACAAAGGAGGAAGACAACACGACAACGACTAAACCAGGAGAAGGTCTGAGCTGCAGACGGACCCCAACGGGACCGGTGTCACCGGGTTCAGGTAGACGGACCACCAGGTTCTGGACGGACCACTGGGTTCCGGACGGGACGGAGACTCACGGAACCTGAATCCTATCAAATCTGAAATAAGTTTTATCAGCACCTGCTTCACTTTAACCTCCTGTGAGGTCAAAAACACAAACGTGTCTGAATAATCAGAAAAAGAAGCAAAACATTAAGAAAATAGAACCAGAACCCAGTCAGGACCAGAATCCAACATCAAATATCGGATTTATGAAGAAAAACGGGTCAAATGTGGAATACAATCAGGTCCAGTCGCTGCTCATGACACAGCACATATGTGAGCAGCACTCAGTCCAACGCACTGCAACATCCTGCAGAACACACACGGACCTGAAGAACCTGAACATGAGCTCAGGAACCGATGGTACCGTTTAGTCCAACAAACCTTCTTGTTCCAGAATTCAGATAAAAGGAAGAAAACATCCGGCTGGATCTTTGACTACCTGCCTGATGGGACTGAGCCTGTTGAAGTTCACACTTGAATCATAAACATACATGAATGATACAATCCAGCCCTGTGATAGGCTGCTTACCTGTCCAGGTGAACCTGCCTTCACCCTGAGTCAGCTGGTTACCACGACCTTAGTGAGGATTAAGCGGTGTATAGATAATGGATGGATGGATGGATGATATAATACAGGTGCATGATGAACGTTACACTGATGTTCTAACAAGGTTTCATTCGTTTGGCTGGAAGCAAACACTGTGCAGACAGTTAGCTCTAATTAAAATGAATAAATACATTTTGTAGGATATAAAACTTCCTCACAGTTTGACTTTGCAGTCCTAAAAGTTATTAATAAAATCTGTAATAATTCCACCCTCTTCTTAAAAATGCTGGTTGTGTGAAACAAACCTGAAACAATTCTGCAGCACTCGTGAAAATGTTTTATAAAAAGTAAAAGTGGAGCGAAAACCAGAAAGTGAAGAAGCTGCCTCCAGTCCGGGTTCTGCTGAGAGGTTCTGGGTTATTACGGGACTAAAACTACCACAGAAACTCTCCACTGAGTGCGAAGAGCAAATGTTTGTAGGGAATAAAAGGAAATCCTGCAGTTTCTTCTTCAGAGTGATGAAATATGAAATATGGGATGGACACGCTGGATGTGGAGAAGCTGCTTCAGACTCTTTCTTTCTCCTGCGCTCTCTGCTGATGCCTCCTCCTTCCATCTTGTGATTTATTTGCCTCAGTTCCAATATTTGTCAGCGCTGTGTTTTCTTCCCCTTGTCTAAATGTCACCCGTTCTTCTAAGACAATGTGTGGAGGTGGACAGAGGGAGAACCGGAGGGCAGCTGTGGGGGAACCGAGGCAGAGGAGGGGCGACTCGTAAAATCACCAACAACGTTTGGGAAAATTAAACATTAGGTAAGAAGATCGGAGGAACCAGACGGGAGGATTTCACAGGTTCACGTCCCTCTGAAGACGCTCCTTCAGCTGCAGGTCGAGGTTCTCTGCATTAAAAGCACAAACAAGCGTCGAGAACCGTGAGGAACATCTACACGTGTGGTCAGAACCGAGTCCAAACTCAGGTTTTAGCCTGACAAACACACTCGGATTCAGAGTGAGTGTTGATTCAGAACCTGGACTTCCTCCTCCTCCCCCTCCCCCCGGCCTCCTTTATAACATCACTCCCATCGCTGCTCTCGCTATTCTCCCGTCTCGCTCCGGACTCCCTCTCAGAACAGAACCGACACATGATGCTGCTGTTTCCTGACCTCTGTTAGCGCCGCTGGATCTTGACTGCTGCTTTTTGGCTCAGTTCTGCTCGTCTGGGCTTAAGCTGGACGTATGGACTCATTGTGGCGGTTACAGGATGAGTGTTTCTTACCGGCTGTAGAGCGGTGCTGTAAGTATGTTCCTGCTGCCGCTGACAGAACACGAGAACAAACCGATGAACAAGTCTTCTGATTAATACTTCGATTCATTTCAACGTTTGATCCACTCAGCGAGAGAACAAAGAACCAGCAGCTGACACAGAAGCATGAACTGGTAAGAACCCATGTTCCTCTGCAGCACGTTCCACAACAGCAAGCTTTAAATTCACTTCATACACTCAGAACATGAAGGTTCTTGACAGTGATGCCGTAGAAGAACCATTTCAACTCTGCAAACATTTCCTGTTCCTGTTCCTTTAGGTACCATAAACGGTACTCTAAAGGACTCAAGCAAGACTAGGCGCTGTGAGGAACCATAGTCCAGCTCTTTGAGGTTCCACCTGGTTCTACTTTGATAACAGGACTCGATGATCGTTTCAGTAATTTGTAAGCGGAAAAGTTAAATGGATGAATTTGCAGCATTTCTGGATTCCTTCCATTAGAACACTTGTAATATGTTTAGTTCTGCACTGCTGGTCCGACAGAACCGAGGATCCATGTTGGGATTTGTGAAACTCGGAGGAACCTTCTTTTTTTTTAAACAGTTTTCTGATGTTTTATCGACCAAACGATTCATCCAGAATAAAATCATGTTCAGCTGCAGCTCTGATTTCAAGAAGTCCAACAAATACGAAGAACCTTCAAAGAACCACAGAACCAAGAACCATACCTTAAATAAAGAAGTTCTTCAGGTGGTGGCTGTAGAACCATTATTGAAGCACAAACTGTGTGTTCAGTCTGAAAGCTGAACTTCAGGAGAGGTGCTCCTCAGGAGATCTGCTGTGGAGGATCTGATCGGTTCTCTGTGGTTCTGTGTTCTACCAGACGTGTTTGGATTGGTTCTTCATGGTTCTGTGTTCTGACAGATATGTGTTTGGA